TACTGAATAAAACAGTACTTATTTTATGTTGACGGATCATTCATGCCTCATGTAAGCTTTATTGAAATAATTCTATAAAATGCAATACAAAACTTTAATTAAAAAAAAACCCTAGTATTATTTTTGAAGAACACTGAATATTAATGAAAAAAATGATCTATTTTAAGTATATAAACCATTGTTTAAATAACAAGCACTTTGGAAAGAATGTTAGTGCTAGCGAAGTGTATTCTAAAATAGAATTTTACAGTTCCAAATATACCTACAGTCATAAAAGCCTAAGTTAAAAGAGGCCTTCATTCAGGACAAAACTTATAAACCAAGCTAGGCCTTGAAAACAATACATTCAATTGATAATTACTAAGTGTAGACCAAGATGCAATACAATTTCATGTATGATGGGAGATTAAATAGGCACGAAATATTCTACTGCAACTTCTAACCACTTGAGGTGGTTCAGATATTTCCATATACGCATATTAGGACATTTTAGAATGTGTTCACACTGCTACAATCAGGAGAATAGAATGTACTCAACCTAACTACCAAATGCAATTATCTTATAAAATAAGCAGTCATCAAAGTATGACAGCTAAATTTCCCCCAAAATTGCCAACAGGTGTTAATTTTTTTTTCTTGGTCACGCTACAGTATATGCCTAGATACACAGTATTATTCCTACTGAAGTATTATCTGTTTCTTATCTCCATAAACATTGTGCTTATAATTTTAAAATGTTATGTCAAGCCTTTCAGGTTTTCAGAAATTTTTTTTTCTTGGTCATACTACAGTATATGCCTAGATACACATTATTATTCCTATTGAAGTATTATCTGTTTCTTATCTCCATAAACATTGTGCTTATAATTTTAAAAAGTCACGTCAAGCCTTTCAGGTTTTCAGAAAACAATGAGCACTAATTTATAAAACTCATTTCTGATTAAAACCTTAAAAATCATAATCCCAAATGTTTTTATGACTCTACATTTTTAATTACACTTGATACATCTGAATGAAGAGTTCAGGGCATAAACTGCTGAAAAAATTCTTCAAAAGGAACCTTGATTTTCCAATTCACTGAAACACTGACTACATTCTAAGTGGCTCAATGTAGTTCCAATGTTGTAATATGTACGCTGCATTACAGTGACTGTGTAGGTTATATATAAACCTTCTGAGCATTAAAGAAGAGTTGTTTAAAAAAGCAATTTTATTTGGTTAAACTTATATAATTGTCACATGAAGAGATCCGCTTAGGATTCTCCTTTTTCACTGCCACTATAGCTCACTAATTCCTCTTTTATTCTCTTCCTCCTTACGATACCCTCCCATTAAAAAATTATATCCTTTCTAAGGTTTAACAACAATCATAAAGTTACTTCACTGTAGTTCTCTTATACCTAAAGATCTGCATTGTATACAGATCAGAGATCTAACAACCCACAATGCAAAGAGTTAAAGAAATAGATCCAGAGAGGTGACATTTCTGCTTGAGGCACTGACTAAATGGAGGTAAAAATTAAGTCAAGAATGCCTGAGTGACAAGAAACTGCTAGAAAACACTTTAGAAAGTGGTTGGACATAAAATTGGGTTAAACTGCGCTAAATTGGGCATGTCTATGTCCAGATCTCTGAACGTCCAGCACAAATTCTAAAATTGGTTTTAACCATTTGGCACATTTTAATTTGTGTATACCTTTTAGCAAAGACAATATGGACAGAATACTTCATTAATTTTCTTCAGAATTTTATTAGATAGTTAACAGACCACATGGAGCTTGAAGCTCCATCTAGCTAAGATACACACAATCTCTGCTGCTTAAGAATCTAAGTAACATATCAGGAGGCCTGAACAAAATGGCACATATCACACCAGCTAGGACTAGTTGTGGAGAGGAGACAGTTCCCTGAAACAGTGAAGTCATTTTCTTTATTAAAAAAAAAAACAAAAAAACTAAGCTAAACAACAGGACTGTCCCAAAAGTAAGCAGAGAAATACAACACTAATTAGCCAGTTCACAGGATATGAAAAGCAACAGATGCCATATTTAGAGCCAGAGATACAGAAATTCATGCATAAACTGAATTAAAAAGATAAATCTGGCCAGGTGCAGTGGGTCACGCCTGTAATCCCAGCAGTTTGGGAGGCTCAGGCAGGTGGATCACCTGAGGTCAGGAGTTCAAGACAAGCCTGGCCAACACGGCAAAACGCCATCTCTACTAAAAATATGAAAAAAGTTAGCTGGGCGTGGTGGTGCATGTCTATAATCCCAGCTACCTGGGAGGCTGAGGCAGGAGAATCACTTGAACCAAGGAAGTGGAGGTTGCAGGGAGCCAAAATCTCACCACTACACTTCAGCCTGGGCAACAAGAACAAAACTCCATCTCAAAAAAAAAAAAAAAAAAAAAAAAAAAAAGATAAATCTACAGATAAACAGAGGAAACCAGCCAATAATGAAAGACTAAAACGACATACAGAGAATTGTGAGACTATCCAAGAGGGCATGTAAAAGAAACAGTGTGACTAGCCCTCATAGCTGCCTTAGTTCCCAGCTGCTTTCAAATAAACCTCCAGTCTCTGCTCCCCATAACGAGTCCAACATAAGTCACACATGATAACCACTTCCAAGTATTTCCCTTTCCCTCTACAGAGTATAACCTGTTATTACTGTCTGCCCAGCACCCCATTTTGGAATGAATATAAGCTCCCTTTCCTGTGAAAGATAAACCATTCCATGTGGTTTATACAGGGCTCATATCACATCCAACACCCCATCCTTATAATACATACACATTCACACTCCCTTTCTGTCAACTGGCTCTTATGCACTCCCACCCTCTCTCTCACTAGCCCACGTGCTCTTTCAAGTGTTCATTTTCCTACACATGCTCTCCTCACTCTCTCCTACACGCTCACCTACACAAACAGGAGTGACTATGTGACTCACAGCCAAGTAATCTGAATACCCATTCCACTAGCCTCAATGACTTGTTCAAGGCTGTGTAACAGACCACAGGCCAGCAAAAGTCATCTCCATCACTTTCATGCAAGATTCTATCAGTGGTCAAACTGCCAGCCCTGAGAAACGGACAAAGAGGCAGACTGCTAACACACTACATACCTGTGACTATACACTAATCTTAGTACTCAGGACAAAGCCATTTTTTTTCCCTTAAACTTAAGATTTGAAACCCTGAAGAAGTCCTAATATCTTCAAGACCTGTAAGCCAGAGATTTCAGGCAGACTGGGGAACTCATCCATTCCTCTACCTATCTCTAGCAGCAGAGTAGTCTGAAGGACTTCTAGTAAGTTTCCCAAATAAAGACTGTAAACTGCCTCTTCCATCACTCCCAAAGAGCTGTTGTCACAGAAAGGAACAGACCAACCTACCATTCCAAGCTTGAAAAGCTAAAAACATTCACATGAAATTTTGTCTCTTGAGGCAAACGTACACTTAAACAATTCAATAGCACTTTAGCAACTAAATTTATTTGTCTCCACTTGATTTACTGTCTATGTCCCTCCATTAGTCACTATGAGAGCAGAAATTGGATTGGTCTTGTTTACAGCCCCTGGCAAATGGCAGATGTGCTATAGTAATTTCTTAAAGAATAAATATAAAATGCCTATTCACACACTCATTCTATAATCATATATTACTTTGGCCTGAGAACCCATTATCTGTAAAGTACTCTACTAGGCACTATGGGAGTTAAAAGGACCACATATGAACTAAATCATCAAAGAACTTGTACCTGGACTCTTTGTGGCCACAAATCCTTCTTGATCTTCTGATGAAAACAGGGGCATTTTGTCTAGAAAAATACCTAAACAAATATGCTAAGACTTTGCATTAAATTTGAAGAAATTCTTAAGGTAAGAATTCCAGATCTAGTAAGATAAGACAAGGATATGTATGCATTTACAGAAGTACTGTGGTCTTTTCTTTGTTGGTTATTGTACTCAATAAGAAACTTATGTAGAAAGATGATCAAGAGACAAGCAAATAAGACCAAACAAGTCTCCTACTTTCAGAAAATAGCTGTAAGTTGGGAGCCTTTGTGTACAAAGACCACTAAGAAATACCAACATATCTGGAGCATGAAAACATGAGCCACTGATGAAGTTGCAAACAAATCCCAAGGCTTTCAATGTATAAAGCAAAGTGAGACAGAAAATTTCTTGTTACGAGTAGAGAAAAAGACAAATAATTAACATTGGTAGAATCCATTCATAAAAAAAGGCTCCGGAGTCCTGTAGGCTTTATTTTTTCAAATCTTGCATTAAGCTATCTCAACAATTTAAGTGTTATATAATAATTATGATTGGTGATCATTAAATATTTTTAAAGCATTAATAATTAAAAGTACATGCAGGGGTGGAAAAAAAACAATGTGGTAACATAGCCTACATTCTGAAATTCTTCTGAGAAGCCTCTTGGGTCACAGGTTTCAGTCAGACTAGTATCGTCCTCCCAAAAATGGTTTACAGCATACAAGGAAATAACCTTTAAGAGTTAACTTTGCAAACCAAACCTATCACGTGCCAATAAATACCATTCTATAATTAACTGTAATAATAAAAACACTCCAAAAACTTCAAGTAAACAGGAATCCTAACAAGTCCAACCCTTTGAATTTCACTTTCTACTTCTCTAAATGCAATCAATAAATTTTCTGACTCGTATACCAAAAAAAAAAAAAAAAAAAAAACCTCTACCTAAGAAATCTTCTTTAGAGAATCCCAAAAAATGGAAAGTTCAAAGCTGAAGTCGATGCCACAATCAGAACAATTATCAAATGTGAGAGTCAGAAGCAACCTTAGAATTATCCAGATCACTACTCTCTTTTACATAAGTAAGCCAAGACATGGCAAAAGCATGCCCATTAAGCTGAGAACGGACTTCTAATTTAAGGAACAGATATAGGCAAAATTAGATCAATATCGGTACCAGAATATATTTTAAAACATTCAAACTAAGTACATCTAAGTACTTACATTAAGAAGTAATTCATCTTTTGTTTTAAGAGGAAAATTCTTATTTTCCTTCTCAACTTGTAAATCATCGTCTCCATCTGACAGCACTGGAGGAAGTGATACACAAGAGGAAGAAGAGGAAGATGATGAGGAAGATGAAGAGGACGACGATGAGCTTGAACTATCTGAATCTGTTTCACTGCAGGAAAGAAAAAAGTTAAAAAAATAGTACAGTATTATAATGATATTAAAATAAGATTATTCAACTAAGAATACCATCTTTACTATATCTTTATTATTGCTGTTCTAATTCAAAAGCTAGCACCTCAAAGCTGATATGGTATTGGCAGAATAGTCTTTAGTCTGCCAGTAACATTTTCCAGCCTCTGCTATAACACAGATCCTCTTATGACAATAGTCTCACATATCATACACCTGTCTAAGCAAGCATGTGACAAATCACCACCAAGAAGGAACGAACTCTTGGCATGGCACCTCACTTAGGCACCAATATCCAGAGCGCTTAATTGCCAATGAGTTTCTTCTCAATCTACAGACAACTTGGGGAATCCTCAGTTACTAAATTATGTGGACATGTTCCACTTTCTGAAAACTCACTTGGTCCTTATCTTCCACATAAATTACCGTTAACAGCAACCACTGTCTCAGTTTAAATTTTGTTGGTTGGCTCCCCACTTCAAGCCCCTTTATGTACTATTTTTAAGGGTTCTCTGACTTCCTCCTCTTTCTGCATTACTTCCATGGATAATCCTATAGACGTTAATGATTTCAATAATCATCCGTGTGACATTAACGTCTAAATCTTCAGCTAGGACATCTCTGAACTCCATATCCAACCTCTCACTGCATATTGGCCACCTTTGTTATGAATGGCCTATACATACCACACTTGGAGCAAGTTAAAACAAGGAAAAGTGCATGATCCTAACTGAACCTGCTTCTCCCCTTCAGTTTCCATCTGATTTCACTGCTGACAACAGACACAAAGTTGCATCCCTTTTGATTTTTTCAAATATTTGGTATTCTCTGCCATCACCCACAAAGAGAGTTAGAAGTGGCATCCTGACACTAAGTTGGCCTATTATGATGCTATATTCCTTCTGCTTTCAAAACTTATCCCCAAATCGTCCACCATTTACTTTTCTTTGCTAGTAAAATGAACTCTGAAATCCCAAAAAATGATCATACTGCAATTTTAGTATTGCCAAGAAATCCAACCTTGTTTACAGTTACTTTCCCCTCCCAGTGTACTTCATACCCTCTCCTTCTACTCAAATCTTTCAGCCTTCTCCACTCTCCCTCTTCACTGATGACCTTCCTAAAAACTAAACTTCTCGCTTCCTCACCACGTGTCTATGTTGTTAACCTGTTTAGTACCCCACTCAACTCACTCAACTATTCGTGGACAATGTTCAGTGTGGTTTAGTAATATCCCACATGCTGGAGTTCTCTCCAGCCCAAAAGTTTCGTATTTAAAAGACAGAAGTGGGGGAAGGGGAAAAGGCTCTCATAAAACGTAAAGCATAAAATACTCCTAAATAACACTGTTTGGCTACTTTCACGAACACGTGTTACCTACAAGGACTCTATAATAAATTAACGTAATTATCAAGAGTCAGCTTTGAAACAAAATAATCCTTTTTCTGATCCTCCATGTATCTGGTTCAAAAAACAAGGCTGAGAAATGATGGGGGGAAAAAAATCAGATCGGACGTAAAACTCAATTATAACCACAAAAGTACAGCCTAAACTGAATAGTTAAGGAAATAACCTAAGATCCTCGAGTTTTCTAAAACTCATACGATCTATACATAGAACCCTTCAGGTCACCACATTTAGGAAAGAAGTGAGAACTGATTACCAAGCTCAGATTCACCACGCGACCTGCTGAAAGAGGCAGCGAATAAAGGGCAGTCAAAGCCAACACGTCAACACGTGCGCCCGCAGCATCAGCGACCTGCCCACCCGCCAGGGCCCACACGGGCAACCTCTAGGCTCCTAGGCCCCGGCGTCCCCCGCCCGTCCTACAAGACCTCTCCCCGCAGCTCTGGGTCCTGGAGGCACCCGACCTGTCCGACTCCGAGTCCGACTCCGAGGTCTCCAAGGGGTCCGGGGCCCGCGCAGGCTCTGCGGCTCCCGGGGAGGTGACGCAGTCCCCGCAGGCCGGCGATTCGGCCGGCGGCGGTGGCTGCCGCGCTGGGGTCCGGCCCGGGACGGCGTTCAGAAAGGGCTGCAGCGGCTGCTCCCCGGCAGGCTTAACCTCCACGGTCTGCCCAGTGTCCGGGGACCCCTCACGCGACGGTAGCGGCGGCTGTGTCCCTGGCGCAGGAGCAGAGCCCGGAGACGCCGCCGCTGGACCTTCGCCAACTCCAAAGCCGGTGCCATTGAATTTCAGAGTTTCCAGCTGAGCGGCAGCGGCCTCCACTACCTCCATCGCACCGCGCCAAAAACCCGAATCGGCCTGAAGACTTGGGCCCGAGGACAACCTCACGGCTCTCTCCAGAAATAAAACTTAGCCTACCGGAGCAACAGTGCCCAGACCCAACTTCCCGCGTTTCTCAGGTAACTACATGCGGAGAGACCAAAAGACACGCCCCCGCCGTTTACGCAGCGGCGCTTTCCGGGGAGTGGGTGACGTATGTGGCGCGACGGCGCTCACCCGGGACGGGACGCATGCGCCGGACCTTCGGCAGGCAGCACTGGGGAGGCCGTAAATCGGCCGTTTTCACTGCGTCGTGCAAACCGTGCAAGGCGTAAAGGCCGCTTTCTCCTGTTGCTGGATGTGAACCAAATGTGCTCGAAGCGCCAGAATGAAGCAGGAGTTATACAACAGGGGAGATGCCTGAAGAATGCTAGGTTCTGTACATCAGAAACTTGAGCCAGGAAGTCTTGACAAACACCAGTAACTTCATGAAAGTTAAATGAAGATGATCGATCGATAGATCCATCTATAGGTAGCGCATTAACCATTTATTTCAAAACTGTAACTACAACTATTCCATTTCTCTTTCGCCAAAATACCCTCAGAGAGAGCAGTAATGGACGAACTGTTGCTGTCGATGTTACAGTGATGTCTATATCATACTTGGGACTGTTTCATAGAAAGGAGAGATAAGACTGAAATGTACTCACTTAATATTGGAAACCACTAATCTAAATTGTGACGAGAACAAGCAAAAAATAGTTCTTAGGACTGAAGAGATCAGAATTTTCTGGTTTCCTAATTAGGTCTTCAATTTGATGCATCAGTCCCTGCATAGTAATTATCATTGGTACCATTTGTTAAACATGCATATGTTCTTGTTTAGCCAAGAACTGTGCTAAAGATTTTAGAAATTATTCACTGAGAATTTACTGTGCCATCTACAATAGTAGATCTTCGTAGAAATGCAAGGCAAGTGTAGTAAGAGTAAGGTTTTAAGAAGCTTACAATCTACTTGAAGTAGAGAAGGGCAATGCCCAGGAGATAAGTGGAAAGATATTTGAAATATGAAATAGAAAATCCAAGTGCAGCAGAAATGGGAAGTTAAGTAGGATTGGTAGGCCATACCATGGAAATCCTCCAAAGTGAAGAGGAATTCAAACTTGGGATATTAGTAGCACAATGATTAAGCAGAGCTCAGAGTTTTCAGCTAAAAAGACCTGTGTTCAGCCCTCAGCTCTACTATCTGTCATTGGTGTAACTGTGACTTTCAGCATGTAACCTAAATATTAATTCCCTTATCTGTAAAATAGAGATAAAAATACTAACTACCATTTTGTCATTGGTGTAACTGTGATTTTGGACAGGTAACCTAAATCTTAATTTCCTTATCCGTAAAATGGAGATAAAAACACTATCTCATTTAGTTCATGTAAGCATTAAATAAGGTTACATATAAGGGAATGGAATGTCATACATTCAGTGTGCAAAAATACTTGGAAAAAGGAACACTGTATGAACTCACAAATAAAATATTTCATTGACAATGACCTTGCAAAGACATGCAATGCAGATTTGAGAAGGGAAGACATTTGAGCCAGAATTATTCTCCAGCCAGTCACTTTGTTGCATTTTTCCAAGAATTAGGTGATAAAAGTCTGAACTAGGGTTAAAGTCAATGAAATAGATTAAAGGAAGTCCCCAGTATCAGGAGAAGAATAAAAGTACTCTAAAATTTCTGACCAAGTAAATTAGAAAGAAATTGGTATTACCAATAGAAATGGAGAAGTTGGCCAGGTACAGGGCCTCACACCTGTAATCCCAGCACTTTGGAAGCCAAGGCTGGCAGATCACCTGAGACCAGAAGTTAGAGACCAGCCTGACCAACATGGCAAAACCCTATCTCTATTAAATATACAGAACTCTATCTCTATTAAATATACATATACAGAATATGGTGGCAGGCACCTGTAATCCCAGCTACTTGGGTTGCTGAGGCAGGAGAACAGCTTGCACCCAGGAGGTAGAGGTTGCAGTGAACTGAATTGTGCCATTGCACTCCAGCTTGGGCAATAAGAAGGGCAATAAACTCCCTCTCAAAAAAAAAAAAAAAAAAAAAAAAAAAAAAAAACTGGAAAAGTCAAAAAGAGATGTGAGTATGTGAAGTTGAGGCTGAAGAAAATCTAGACAATTAAATATGTCAATAGGTATTTGAAAATAAGAAACTGGAATTTGACAGATATTAAGACCAGAAGTATAAGTTATGGGATAATCAAAACACTCATTTGTTCATTCAGTAATCATTTTCTTAACATTACTATATGGTATGCACTACATTATAACCTGTGCATACAGGAGTTAAACACAGTCCTTACCCTTAAGAAGTTAACAGTTCAATAGAAAAGTTGGAAAACAAGCAAAAAGTATTATAGTAGAGAATTGTATCATGTAAAGGCGAGAATGTATGATATGGGAAAACTAAAAACAGATAAGATAGTTGGAAAATTAAGGAAAATATACTACAAGAGATATATCATGGCTATAAGATTAATTATAGCCATAAGGCTCACTCAGTTATCTTGAGGGGCTGATACTAAATATATTTATCAATATGACACAAACTGGCCCTGAAGATTTCCACCCCTGGCCCAGGGATTTCCAGGAGACAAGGCTGCTTCAGCAGAGATACAACTTTCATGAACCTTAAAACAAAGCTTACCCTCGTAAGAATAGCTTCAACTCCCTTTATGACCTTTATGAGAAAAACACCTGATAACTGACCAAGCTGAATACAGGTGTTTTTTTTTTTTTTTTTTTTTTTTTTGAGCCGGAGTTTCGCTCTTGTTACCCAGGCTGGAGTGCAATGGCGCGATCTCAGCTCATCACAACCTCCGCCTCCTGGGTTCAGGTGATTCTCCTGCCTCAGCCTCCCGAGTAGCTGGGATTACAGGCATGCGCCACTGTGCCCAGCTAATTTTTTGTATTTTACTAGAGACGGGGTTTCACCATGTTGACCAGGATGGTCTCGATCTCTTGACCTTGGGATCCACCCGCCTCGGCCTCCCAAAGTGCTGGGATTACAGGCGTGAGCCACCGCGCCCGGCGAATACAGGTTTTAAAAAGGGGGAAGGATCTCCCGAATAATGAGAATGGTCTCTAGTTGGAGACTCTCTTGATCATCTGAGCCCTGACTATATCCAGTCTATGCCCCTAGCCTCTTCCCACTGACTGTCTTGTAAGAGTGATGCCAGATTCAGCTACTTAAGCATCATACAGTCTCTAAGACTCATCTTTGACTTGAATAGAACTGAATGGGAGAAGTCACCCCTAGGAAAGCTGGTTAAACAGGACCCCCCAACCACCACCCCATGAACATCACAGAAGGCTTTACAATGTATGTGGTATTTGAGTTGGACTTTCAAACAGAACCATCAATTTGTTAATCTGAGAAAATAGAAGACCTTTACAGGGGAGAATAAATAACATCATTGTAATTTCCTGCTTAAAACTCTTAATTATTTATAAGCACACATAGAATAAAATTTAGACTCCCTGCTTTGGCTTTCAAAACTCTACCTGATCTGGCCACTACTTAACCTCTCCGGTTTCTATCTTTTACTATCTTCTCCACTCTTGGGTCCCTGATCGCTGGTCTTGAGCTCCCTTCAACTCACCATGTTAATTCTTCACATCTGGCATTTTCACTTTGCTGTTCTCTCTTCTCATCTTATTAACATGGCTTTTTTACTCATTTATGTTTCTACTCAAACACTACACCTAAAAGACACCTTTTCAGATCACTCAATCTAAGAGTACCCCCAATGCTAATTACTTTTTAGCTTATTGATCACTGTTTTTATTTAAATAGTATTTATCTTCCCATGAAACTATATTTACCTGTTTATTATCTGTTTTTACATAAAATTAAGTCTCAGGTAGGCGGGGTGCGGTGGCTCATGCCTGTAATCCCAGCTACTCGGGAGACTGAGGCAGGAGAGTCTCTTGAATCTGGGAGGTGGAGGTTGTGGTGAGCCGAGATCACACCATTGCACTCCAGCCTGGGCAACAAGAGCGAAACAACATCTCAAACAGAAACAAACAAGCAATTCGCAGGTACCCAGGATCTTTGTCTAATTCACAGCTGTTTCTCTAAGTGCCTGGGAACATAATAAATCCTATAAGAATTTTTGAATGGATGAATAAAAGAAAGAAATAATAAAGCTCAGTGGGACAATCAGAGTAAAGAATATGACTTAACAGATAAAGGTACAGATAATATCTAAGTTGTTCTTTCAATTTAAATTAATCTGATGATACCTAAGAAAGGATACTGTTTTTAAATAAAAATTTTTTGATCGTGTGGTGGGAATGTATCTGTGTTTCAACATAGTGATAGTGGTACCTATACCTAGCTTTGAAGTAGGTCAGTGTTTCACAAATGGTAATTTTTCTAAGGCTTGTTTCAAAATGTCCTGAATTTAACTACTTCCACAGGCTTCCTCTTGACTGCATTATTTCTAACAGCTGCTAAACTTAGCCTGAGATCTTTAAAAAGACTAAATAATAAAAAATACTTAAAATACTGTGTAGCTTACAGAGTCACTATTAACATGAGAGAATTTATCTTTTAAATTACAAGTTAAATGGTATATTAACATTTCAAAGGGAGCTTGTAAAACTAAAATATATTTCTATAGATGTTGCTGATTGATCTTAGTCTGTATTTCAATGTTTAAAAACACATGAATAGACACATTTCCATTTCAAGAAACTTACAATGTACTTGCTAGATAAAAATGATGAGATTTTGGCCAGGCACAGTGACTCAAGCCTGTAATCCCAGCACTTTGAGAGGCCGAGGCAGGCGGATCACGAGGTCAAGAGATCGAGACCATCCTGGCCAACATGGTGAAATACAAAATACTAAAAATACAAAAAAAAAAAAAAATCAGCTGGGCATGGTGGCGTGCGCCTGTAGTCCCAGCTACTCAAGAGGCTGAGGCAGGAGAATTGCTTGAACCCAGGAGGCAGACTCCAGCCTGGCGCCTGGCAACAAAGTAAGACTCTGTCCCCCCCGCAAAAAAATGAGAGTTTCTGATTTATGTCACAAAATCATTAAAAGCAGATTATGTGACTGTTTAGATGAGTTGCTATTCCGATATATATATACTGCAGCACTAATTTAAGTTAAGGTCAT